TTCCTTCCTCATGGTCCCTTTCTCTTTTCCTGGCTTCTGTGGTTACTCTAGGTTATATACTCACATCTAAAGATTTGGAGCTAGGATCCACATGTGAGCAAGAACAGTTGCTTTTCTGCTTCTGGATTACCTCACTTAATACAGTACTTCTAGTTTCATCCATATACCAGTAAACTTTTTGACTCTATTTTGCTCTACAAATAGTATTACATTTACAATACAAATGCATACCATATTTTTATTATCCATCATCAGCTGAAGGGCGTTTGGGTTATTTTAATTTTAATTTCCTAGCTGTTCCTATTGTGAACAGAGTGACAATGAGCATGGCTGAACAAGTGTCTGTGGAGTAGGACATATGCGGAGGGGTGGTAAAGCCAGGTCATACGGTGGATTTATTTCTAGCTTTTTGAGGATTCTCCACACTGATTTCCAGAGTGGCCACACAAATTTGCAGTTCCACCAACCGTGAATGAGGGTTCCCCTTTGCTCACACACTTTCTAGTATTTGTTGTTGGTTGTTCTGAATACCTTAGCCGTTCTGACTGGGACGAGATGAAATCTCAAAGTTATTTTGGTTTGCATTTCCTTGACTACTAAGAATGATGAACATTTTTTGAGACACTGCTTATTTATTTTTATTTCTTCTGTTGAGAACTCTCTGTTCGGATCCATAGCCTGTCCTTAATAGGGTTATTGCATTGTTGTTTTGACTCTTTGTTTTTAGTTCCTTATGTGTTCAGTGTACCATTTTCTCTTCCACTCTGTGGGGTTACTCTTCACTTGATCGCTTCTTTAGCTGAACAGAAACTGTTTTGATTTTATGCAATCTCATCTGTCTATGGTTGGCCTTAATTCCTGGGCAAATGGAACCCTATTCAGAAAGTTTTCCTACTCTTAAATCTTGGATGATACTGCCTATGTTTTTTCCGAGCAGTTTCAAAGTTTCAGGTTTCAAATTGAGGTCTCTGATACAATTGGAGTTAACTTTTGTGCAAGGTGATATATAAAGGTCTACTTTTATTTTTTGCATATAGACATCCAATTTCCCAGCACCATTTGTTAAAGATTCTATTTTCTTCTGTGTATATTTCTGTAAAGAATGCTATGGGAGTTTTGATTGGGATTGCACTGAAAATGTAAACTGCTTCTTGTAGAATGGCCATTTTTTTATAATATTAATTTTAATTCTATCAACTCAGGAGCATGGGAAGCCTTTCCATTTTCTAGCATCTTCCTCAATCTTTTTCCTCAGAGATTTAAAGTTTTCATTATAGAGCTCTTTCAACTTCTTGGTTAGGTTTGTTTCCAGATGTTTTATTTCTTTTGAGTTTATTGTACATAAGAGTATGGCGAATTTATGTATATTTTCAGAGCTGGCCATTTGGTACTGGATAACCTATTGGTGTTCTTTTCCCCAGGGAAGCCTATTTCTCTCACTCTAAGCATTCCTTAGTTAGCTGAAGTTCTTTGTGTTGAGTTGAGGACTCAAGGGCCATGCCATACATTTTGGCATGTTGTTGTCCTTGTTAGGTTTATGTTTGGACACGCTGGTGAGACTTTATGGGTACAGCTTCTCACATTACTAGGAGACACAGTTTAACAGCAAATTCCCTGATCCTCTGGCTGCTACAATATTTTCACCCTCCTTTCCATAATGTTCCTTGAGCTTCAGATGCAAAAGTTGTTTTGTATATATATTCATTGGAACCAGGCTCCACAACTCTACATTTTGATTGGTTGTCATTTTCTGTAATGGTCTCAGTTTGTTTCAAAGAGAAATTTCCTTGATAAGGGGTGAGGACAAACAGGTAGATTACAGTAGGAATTATACTGGTTTAGTAAAGTAGTGGTTGTGGGTTCTTCCCAAGATCCATAACTTTACTACCCCTGAGTAGTGGTCTAGGTTTCCAGTACCAGAGATGTTTTCCCTTCTATTGAGCAGGTCTTAAGTCCAGGTAGAGAGGTGTTGGTTACTGTGAAGGTGTGTGTGTGCCACTACTGCCCCAGATGATTACTTTTCTGAATACTAATTGTGTCTATGGAATGGTTTGCATGTAGAAAGATATGTGTGTAGTATGTCTCTGTGTGACTATGGTATAGTTTACATATAGAATTGGAATTTGTAACTTTTAGAATAAATCACTTAAGTGAAGGGATGTGTATATCTCTCTGTGTGTCTGTTATATGTGTCCCTGCTAAAAGATAAGATAAACCAACTAGGTAATTCCGTCTCTTGGGCTAACAAATTATTGTGTATAGAAATGTGTTTGTGGTTCTGTATGTCTATCTGGTGGATGTACATGCAAGAGATGGTTGTACAACTTCTACATGTGTATAAGTAAGTGGTGTGTGTGTGTATGTGTGGTGTGTGTGTGTGTGTGTGTGTGTGTGTGTGTGTATGTATGATATGTGCATTTGTGGGTCAATGTGTGGGTTCTAGATAGATATGTGAGTATGTATGTAAAAGGTAATGTGGGTAACGTGTTATTGTCTGTGTGCATATCTAAATGAACTTCTGTTAATGACATTTTGTCCATGAGTCCATTCTATAAATTCTAGTGTCAAAGTTTCAATTCCACTTGTCTTCATGTATGTCTTGGGGTCTAAAATTGTCTTGTTCCAATACCAGTAAACAATAAACCTGTAGATTAAACATTAAGGTTTGACCTTTCTCCTCACGTTCTATAAAGGGCATATAAAGGCTAAATGCCAAAGACTGTACAGCCAAAAGCTTTTCAAAGAAGCACTGTTAATTTTCTTCCTACTTAGTATTCTCCTAAATGTTCTCATAAAACATCTCAAATTGTATAACCTTCTAACCATAGGCTATTTCAGATATTTAGTTAATTTCTATTGAGAGAATTTAGCAGACAATTGTGTGTGTATGCATGAGTGGTGTGTGGTGTGGTATGTGTGTGTGGTGTGTGTGTATGTTTGTGTGTTTGTGTGTGTAAATCTCTTCCAAGTGGACATTAAAGTGATATGTAGATCTAACTCTTCTAGTTGAATCATTTCTTTTTGAAAATTCTTATTCTCTGCTTGATTTCCTGGACTAAATAACCATTGATTGATATCCTTGCAGCGTGAAGTAATAAAATGATGTACTCTAAACTTCTTGCATTTAAAGAAAGTGATTATAGTTGTTTTATGATCGTAGTGATTGCCCTTTTTTGCTTTAAAATTCTATGTCTGAAAATTATGTCATCTCGATCTCAAGAGGCACCTATTCACTTCCCTGCACCAGTGAGCATCAAATTGTGGTAGAAAGTACTTGCACACAGCTTAGTTTTAATTAGAGACTTTAAAGGATACCATCAAAAGTATTCAGTAGAGACTATGATTTAGTCTGTGCATTCATTTGAAACATTAGGCAAACTAAATGGAGCTATTTTGCTGATTTAGGCATTGTATAGGCTGATGATTTACATATTCTGTTTTCCAGTGTCTGAGACCAGGTGCTCTTTCATAATATCACCAGGGACTGACCTAAAATCACCCAAATCCCTAAAGCTTACAACAAGGTCATAAATATCCCAAGAATGGGCCAGTAAAGTGTTTCTAGTGTAAGGTTTCTTTTTAGCCATTTATCTATGTGATGGTAATGTTGATCGTCAATTTAAAGGATCTGGAATTGCCTAGAGGGCAGCCTCTCCTGATGCCTCTGAAGGATGCTTTAGACTAGATTCATTTCTGGGCTTGCTTGTTCAGGATAAACTTGACTAGGCTAATTGAGGTTGGGAGATTCCCCATGATAGTGGGTGGCAGCTGTCCCTAGGCTTCGATTCCGGACTGCATAAAAAGCTCAAAGTTGGCAGATCATGCACAGTCTCTGCTTTCTCATCCCTGGCTGTGAAGACCCGGTGACCCAGTGCTTCAACCTCCTGTTGCTGTCTTAATTGTCCTACCCTGATGGGCTGGGCTTTCAGACTGGGAGCCGAAGTAAATGTTTGCTTTCTTGAACTCATTAAAATAAATCTGTGTGGTGTGCATGTTTGCATGCGTGTGGATGCATATGTATGCGTCAGTGTACATAAAAAATGTGCATGCACATGCCCAAGGTTGAGGCTGGGAGTCTTCCTTGGTCACTTAGTCATTGAGGCAGGGTTTTTCAATTGAATACAGTAATATAACCAGTATGGCTAGTCAACTTGCACCAGGGATTCAAGATCTCTGCTTTTTCAAATCTGGAATTACAGATGGCCCAACCCTACCTCCTGGCATTAAGTGGGTTCTGGAGAGGCAAACTCCAGTCTTCATGTTTACATGGTATGTGCTTTGATTATCAAAACTAAGAATATATATATATTGAAATCAGATATGTATATAAATAAAGTCATATATATATGATTATTAGGATACCAGTTATTTTCTAAGTAAAGAAGTCAGAAAGGAAAGGCCAAAGTCCATATTTCTTCATGCATTGTTGAGTTGATGTGTGTATGTGTGTGTGCATGTGAATACACATACACACAATGCCTTGTAATATTACTTGATTTTTATTTTCTTCTATGTTTCTTGATATTACTACTGTCAAGAATCTTGAGATTAAATTTATTTCAAAAAATAAACATAAAAATATTTTATCTATTTTTATGCATGTATTCATTATTATATTTATGTTTATTGTTTATTTATTATTAATTTGTGTGTTCACCTATTTACCAATTGTATGTTTACTTATTGATAAGCAAGTGAATTACCCTTTATTAACTAGATAAATGAATTTTGTGTTCCCTTATTTAAAAACCTGATTAAAGGGTTACGACAGTGCAAAAGGTCTTGATAGCCTATGATGTGTACACTAAGTTTGATATTGACTGGGAAATACCAAAAACATATAGAAGGTCCTGTCTTTGGGAGAACAAAAGGAAAACATTCATTGCGTATGCCGTGTAGGCATAGATACAGCATGTAAGCCATGGAAAAACTAAGTTTATTTTCTTTTACCAAGTAGTCTAGTGAGTATGCCTCCTCTCTTTCTTTTTGCCCCACCCTAGTTATACCTTCAGAATCTAAGGACCAACGCTTACAAGACCATTTGGAAGCTGGTGAGTAAAAGTGATGCTAGGGACTGAGACTGGGAGGGAGTGGTGAATAAGAAGAAGAGAACAACTAGAAGAGGGGAGAAGGAAGAAGGAGGAAGGAAAGACCAGTTCCTGACTTCGCTGCATTTCTAAGCCCTCCTTAGAACTAAGTAAGGTTATCCAACTAAATGGGAGCCACGGTGTGTGCTGAGAAGGAAAGTAGGGACCACTCATAAGACCCTCCAGTAGGACCTTCTACTTTTTCTTTCCCCATCCGCTATATGGAGTTTGATCCCAAAGCTATCTAAGAATCCATGTTTTGAAAATGTTGGAATACTCATCAACCCGAGTCCCTAACTGATTGAATGATGGATAAAGCAGGCTTCTTTCTACCACTGATCAGACTTTGTGTAAGTGGGGAGAAGGGTGAGAGTGTAGAGCAGGCAGGGGTGGTGGTGGTGGTCCTAAGGATGTTTGAAGAAGCCCCATGGAAGCATACTATTTTATAAGCTCTGTGTGTGTGTGTGTGTGTGTGTGTGTGTGTGTGTGTGTGTGTGTGTGTGTGTGTGCATATTTAGAGTTACTCCACATAGGAGATCATGTTTTTCCCAGGAACCATAGGAAGCATAAAAGATTATTCTTTGTTTATTTCCAAATAAAAGGCCCAGTGCCAGGTTTTGGATAGTTCCTCAAGCTGTTGTTTAGAGATGTCCTGGAGATGCTCAAAGCAATACAGGCAACTGTCTTTGCTCTTTGTTGCCCACCAGGATTTAATGGTAAGATCTTATGGCCAAAGATACCACACACACATTGGTCACAGGATATAAATAAATCAAGTTGGTACTGATCAAGAGACTCCTTCCTTGCTGGCTCAGCTCATGTGTATCTCATGGTGCAAAATGCAGTCAGTCAGTCCACCTGAAAATGCCCCTAAATAATTCTATTCCAGGAGTTCTCAAAAGGTCAAACCCAAAATCTCCTCTGAAGCTCAAGGGAAACTCAACTGTGGGTCCCTATAATAAATAAAAACCAACTTAACATATTTCCAAGATACAATGGCATGGGATAAACATTCCTAGTCCCAAAGAATGGGAGAGGGAATAGAAAATAATTCCCCTAAAGAAATACCAAAAATCCAACAGGGCAAACAGTATATCTTATACTACCATATCCAGTATATAGGACACAGTAACATTTGAGGTAAGCACAAGCCAGCCTAAACATTGGTAACATTGAACAACTTCTTGTTGTCATTCACATAATTTAATCATAATCAGGCTTACTCATTGTAAAACAAAGATAATGATAACTTCCTGTGTTGTATAGGCCTCCTCCTAGGGTTGTAATCTGATAACTGTGTCAACAGACAACCAGGAAGCTAGAGAACACCATTTGTATTTGGTGAGGTTATTCAGAAAAGGGTTCTAAGCATATAAACAATATTTTTGTCTTGATAGCAGATATCAGTTGTTTTGCTGACATTTAAGTCCTATCTTGATATAATGCCCAACACACAAAATAGTACACAATGTAATAATAAAGAAAATGTCAAAATGTATAATGGCTTATTCTCAGTTGGGTATGGCATTTGTCAAATATCAAAATACCTTTTGGCAAGTTGGCTCTTAAAGCTGTAATATAAATTCATACAGTGCACATTCAATGTTAGTTTCCATTCTTTCTAATTCGTTGTACTGGAATCATAGTTGGCAGTCATTGTCATGAAACAGAATCGCCATATATTCAAGCAGTGGTATTAGATAATAACCTTTAAAAACAGAAATCTTAAATTCATTGATCTCTTAGATAATGAGGGTTTTTTTTTTTTTACATAACTTTCTCACCTCAAAGAATGTAGGGATCAGAAAGTACACTATAATTTGGCTATAAGACTATCATTCCTGAATACATGGTTAATTCACTCAAGGGAAGAGAAATGAACCATTTCTTGACTTTCTCTCATGAACATAGACTTCTTTGGAGTAATGTAAACCTTTTTAATGACATGTAGCCACACACACAAGGAAGTGCACAAATCACGAATTTAATCTGTGTGGATTTTGCTAACCAAACCCACAGAAGCATCAGCACTCACTCCAGCCTGTATGCAGGATGCTCACACTGTCTCAGAAAACATGTCACTGCCGTCTTGAGACTCTGTGGGACATTAAGCTTAAAGGTGGTACACAAGTTTCTAAGAGAGAAAATTTCATGGCAGCATGGTGTGGCCTGGGTATTTCTGGCTGCTTTTAGCAAAATTTATAGTGCTATTAGTAGGAAATAAAGTGACAGAATGAACAACATATTTGAAAAATTGTTGTTTGAACCCAGTTCATAAACCAAAATTGTTGTACAATATTTTGTTTGTGTTCTGACAAATAAAGCTTGACTGGAGATCAGAGAAGCAGAACAGCAGCCACTAGAAACTTCTTACCTCTATGAATCCTCAGGCTAAATGGGGGCAAGGATCCTGTCTCCACCCACTTTATATCACTGTCTCCACCTCTCCAGTACTGGGATTAAAGGCAACATCACAGCCAGGTCCTGTTTCTCTTTTAGACTGGTTCAATTTCTTGTAACCCAGGGTGGCCTTGAACTCCTGATCTTCCTGCTTCCTCCTCCTGAGTGCTGAGATTAAAGGTGTGTGCCACCACTTCCTGGCCTCTATGGTTAACTAGTGGGTAGCTCTACCCTCTGATCTCCAGGCAAACTTTATTTGTCAGAACACAAACAAAATATCATACAACACAAAACCAAATTAATAAACAAACAAACAAACAAACAAAAACAGGAGGCTAGCACAGTGTATAGTGTGGAGGAGTTATCCTTAAATATTGAATAAATACAAAAGGAAAGAATGGGTGCATGATATCAACCAGCGTGGACTCTGGGTCAGCACTCAAGTGCAGAGTGAGGCTATAAACGGGTCATTAGAATCATTTCCTTCTCAGTTGAACTGGGTCTTAAGCCTTGTGTTCTCTTCCTTTTATGAAGAAAACACTGCACAACTATGAATCTCACACGGGCAACCTATGTGTAGAAAATGTGTGACCTAGAAGAAGGAGCCGCCATGAACGTTTTGTTTGAGGGAAAGGAGTTGGTGAGCAGGTATAGTCAGCGGCAGGACTTGGACTTTGGGGGACTTGGTTCTCACATATTCTCTAGGGAGGAGATTCCCATGCCTGAAATATGACCCTGAAAACATGCTGCCTATCCTTGAATACAACTGGCTGTTAGAAGTCTCTGGTCCAACTCCTGAGGCTTTGGGCTAGATTTCCCAGGACTGGAAGCCTGTTTCTGCTGTGAACCACTCCAAGCACCTGTCCTAGCTCAGAAGATGAGTCCTTGGGACCCTGACATGTCCTGACCTGTTTATAGGGGGTAAACTAACCAAGATAGGAGCTACTGGTCGTTTCAGGAGGCACAGTGTCATTATCTACACAGCCGGGGATGTAAATCTGAACTGCCATGAGCAGACCTCAGCACCCACTCACTATGCTACAGCACCTGGCCATGCCTGGCACCTACTGCTGGGCCTGCCACCTTTATCCCAAGGATAACAACCACCTTGGTTTCTGCACTATAACTACTTTTGCTTTTCTTTGACCTAGAACTCATAACATAGCTCAGGTTAACTTGGAATCCTCAGTAATCCTTCTGAATCCTCAGTAATCCTTCTGCTTCAGCCCCCAAGTGCCGTGACTATAGGCATGGAACCACATGACCGTCTCCAAATATTTCTTCTAAACTGGAAGTTAGGTTAATGATTATGAAGGAATTGTGACCTTTACATTGTATCTGTTACTTCAACATTAATTACATGAAGACTGATCATTGTATTAAGATAGTCACTTCCAGGCCTTTTCATTGTAAAATTGTACATTTAACTTTATAAATTTCAATTAATCTGGAGGATAGGTCCAACTATTTTGTGCTTACAAAATGAATTACTTTAAGAAATATTAATATAAGTGCTAGAAAATTATCAGGGAAGGTTGATCTGTAGCATACATCTTTATGCTTTCCTGATCTTTAATTTCTTTGGCCATTTCTTCTGTCTCTAAATATTCTCTGACCTCTACTTAGCTCTAAGTTCACAGCGGTGCTAGAAAGAAAATGAGAGCTGGGGTAGCAAAGGTGCCCTAGAAGAATTCTATCTCTAGCCTCCTGTGTATGACTACCAGAGACCGCAGAACGAGGCCAGCCTCACCTGTCCTCCCCTGTGTAGTAACCTTCGCTTTAAATACATTATAAATGGCTGTATAGTTGGGGAACCCCTTTTCCACTTGTGACAATATGCTCCAAAAAGCAAGTTATTTTACACATTTGTAATAACTATTAAAATTAGTTATTATTAGTTCTTCAAGAATGTCACCATCTGATGAGACCACCACCACCAAGAGAACAGCTCAGAGAAGAGTTTGGGGGGTACCGTTTCAGTCGTTTGAAAGAAAGCATAATAATGAGGCAAGATTCTGGTTCTGCCAATGGACATGAGCTACACAATTACTCAGTGAAGATCTGTCTCTTCAATGCACTGTGTCAATTCCTAAGGTTGTTTTATTGTCCCATGAGGCACATTACTGGATCTCAAGGGTAGAAAAAGAGCTAGGAGGATATTAAGCCAGAATATGAAGGATGAACGTTCACCATGTGCTCAGCAGCCTGGAAATTATTGTTTAATATTAATTTATAGATGATTGCTGAGCCAAAGGACATAATATCCATTATGGAAATGTTCAGTCATGGACGCTGTGCCCCAACACTTATTAATTCCAAGCTGAATACCGAATGACATGCATCCCAAACTGAACGTGTTCAAATGGACAAGCACTTTGAAAAAAGCAGGAGCCTCCCATCACTAGCACAGTCAGTTCTGCAAGTGAAAGAATACGTTTTCCCCCCAAATATAATTAAAGACTTGAGAAAATAAAAAAGAGTGGGGCCAATGTGTATATGGTACAGAGAAAGGAAGAGTGTTTCTCTAAAGCTGTGGCATAGTTCTATGTGCAATACTGCTAGCTGTACCCTGCAGGTCTTTCAAGTGCTTAGCAGAGAGATGAGTTCTGTATGATGGCTGCATCGCAGTAGTTGAGTCTGTCTGATTCTCTGGTTCAGCTGCTTACCTCAGTACTTGCAAAGTATATCTGTGACTGGGTTACCTTTTGTGTGCAGCACTGGGTTTTATAAAGTTGACCAAACAACCGTTTACAACTAGTAGTGGCCCACAGAGCACAGAAATTATTTCTACTTCACACATGTTCCTGTGGCTCTGAAAGAGTCTTTGTCATATAAAAAATTGTCTTTGTTGTTTAAAAAACCTGGACGCTGTCTAAGCAGCTAGTGTAGGGAAGTCTATTTGTTCCCATTTCCGAAATCACAGCTTATCTTTCTTTTCAGAAGATAGCACAGTGTTCAATGTGGAGGAGCTCTCCCTAAACATTGATGAATACACGAGGAAAGAATGGATGCATTATATCAACCAGCATGGATTCTGGGTCAGCACTCAAATGCTACAACAGTTGGGTCATTATAATCACTTCCTTCTCAGTGGAATCAAGTAAGCTGTCCTAAGCCTTGTGTTCTCTTCCTTTTATGAAGAAAACACTGCACAACTGTGAATCTCACATGGGCAACCTATGTGTAGAAAATATGTGACCTAGAAGAAGGAGCCTCCATGAATGTTTTGTTTGAGGGAAAGGAGTTGGTGAGCAGGTATAGGGAATTTGGACTTTGAGGAACTTAGTTCTCATATATTCTCTAGGGAGGAGATTCCCATGCCTGAAATAAGACCCTGAAAACATGCTGCCTATCCTTGAATACAATTGACTGTTAGAAGTCTCTGGTCCAACTCCTGAGGCTTTGGGCTAGATTTCCCAGGACTGGAAGCCTAGTTCTGCTGTGAACCATTCCAAGCACCTGTCCTAGCTCAGAAGACAAGTCCTTGGGACCCTGACATGTCCTGACCTGAGTGTTACCATCCATCCACTCTAGGATGTAAGTCTGAACTGCCATGAGCAGACCTCAGGACCCACTCACTATACTGCAGCACCTGTCATGCTCACTGGAGCCTGGTACCTGCTGCTGGGCCTGCCACCCTTTAATCATCAACACTTTGGGGGCTCCACAGTATAAACAATGCAAACATCAGCCCTATTTGTATCATGCCAACCGTCAGGGTTGTTTGGGGGTATGTGTCATGTCTGGTCCTCAAATCTTGAATGTGATTATGATCAAACCACCACTTTGTAGAGGATGACCCCTTCCAAAGTCTGTGAGGAAGAGAGGAGAGAGGTAAAACTTGCCCCTAGTCCTCAGAAATAAATGATATCCAAGAATCAAAGGCCTAGGTATTATATTTTTTAAAACTGCATGGTACAAAGAAATACCTACTGACCAGGGGATAACATTTATGAAATATGAAACCTTAAATGTGATTTTTTTTAATAAAAAGTATATCTAGAACAGAAGCAGATGAAAATGGAAATAAATCAATGGAGAGCAAAGACAATGTTGATGACAGAGACTGTGAGCAGAGAGCTTCTGGGCCACTGTGGGGAAAGGCTGTCTGAGGAGGAAACATGAGGAGATCATTCATGCTGGACACCTTGGAGAAGAGAGCTGAAAAAAATCCCTTAATTAATAGCAAAAACTGAAAATACATCTCTCCCTCACAGCATTACAGAAAGTCAATTTCAAATGGATCAGAGACTTCAATGTAAAAGACAGAACTTTTAAACCTTTTGGAGAAAATGCAGGATAAAGTTTTCAGGCTCAGTGGCTGTGGTGTGTGGAAACCCCACCCCTGCACAGAGAAGGAGGTGAAGTAAGGAGAGTCCGAGCACCATGAATCTCAGGGTTGAGACTCACCTCCTGACCAGGAAGGCCCAGACATACTTTGGAGTCATTGGCTGCCTTGATTTCTCTGTAGAAACTGTTTTCTAGAGATGGGATGGAAAATAGATCTTTAGTATGCTAATCCACTGCCTTTGTCTTCAGCTCTCTGAACAAAGCATAGTTTAAAGGTTCAGTTCCTGGTTTTTATTCATGTAACACGCAGTTCTGGCTGCTGACAAACAAGTATTGTGACATTTACCAATGTATCTTACCTCTTAACTGTTGCATGGAACAAAGGACTAGTATTCAGAATATATAAAGAACTTCCATAAATATACAGAAACTGAAGCTTTAAAAATAGTAAAATGGGCAAAACGCCCTAGGTATTTTACAGAAGAGGAACACAAAACGTCAGGTTAATATAGGAAAAGGCAATCATCCTCGTTAAGAATCAAGAAAATGTAAATAATAAACCACGATAAAATTTCATTTCTCAGCTGTCAGACTGATTTTAAAAAAAGTATTAGCTCACTCCGTGGAATCTGGGGTGTCATTCTAACTTTAGAAGTTTAGTCAGTTGCAATTCTTGTACAAATATGAAATAATAGTAACTAGAGATGCCTTAGTGGCTAGAGAATGTATTGCTTTTCTAGAGGACCAAAGTTCAGTTCTCAGCTCCCACATCAGGCAGCTCACACCCACCTATGATTAGATTCCAGCTCCTCTGGCCTCCATGGGCACCTGCACTTAGGTGCACACACACACACACACACACACACACACACACACATATGCAAATAATAATAACAAATCTTAAAAACCTTGTTTGTATTGTTATTAGAAATATTTACCTCTTTCTATAATTTATCATAGCTAATCTTTTTAATTGTAATTTTTCTTGTAATTTTATGCTGGATTTTAAAAATTTTACCACTTTCCCCCCATATTTTGAAAAAGGAAATATAATCGTTATTCTTGTACATTGAATAATTTCAATCTGCAATTACATACCTATTATTTAATGACAAGAATTTGTTTTCAAATTAGTATTCATAATTATATGTAAAACTTAACACCTTTGCTCACAACTAACATTTTTAATTTAAATTTCTCATCTTGAATATTCAATTGATTTTATGAAATACTTCAACAGTTAGATTATTTTCAGTAATTGGGGATAAATCTATTAAAATTTATAATTAGTTTCAATACTTCAGGTTATTTTCCATCAAATGACATTTTTAATCTTTTGTTTTCAAACAGGGAATAAATGAGTATGGTGTAAAATGTTCAATGTATAAACAAATTTATTAACTATAACATAAATGCATACATTTAAATTTTGTAAGTCATTTACTTTTGGACTATTATTAAGCAAATAAAAATTACAAATTCTTATAGACTAATGTCTGCAGCACGTCCTTATTCTATTTTCCCCAATGTGTGATGGATGGGTAAGAAAAAGAAAGGCTTTGGCGTAGTTCTTACAGACTATAATATTTTCATTTTATTTTTTATTTAGGATTTTGATAATGTTTATAGAAGAAATTTATTTACATTTCTACTAAAAATTTTTAACTGACATACCATTTTCAATATGCTAAAAGAATAACACGTTGTGAAACCTGCCATTTTTAGTCCCCATGTGGGTTTTTTGCATTTTGAGATATGCACCATTTGCAATGTGCTGCCATTATTATGCTTTAATTTTTACATTTTTACTAGGAAAGGCAATGACGACCATCTTCTCCATTCTCCTCTACCAGAGAGGTAATTCTGTTCCTGTGTTAGAGCATTGTGTCTCTCTCAGAAACGCTGGGAACTGTCGTGCTGTACACACAGTTCATACTTACTACATCCTGCATCTGGACGCACCAGGGTGTTCTATAAGTGAAGCTATTATCAAATGCAGAATCAATTCTCTTTAGAAACAGACTGAGATATGGGGTGCAAAGAAGAAAGAGTGCCTACTGTATGGAAATTAAACCAGCCACTGCAAAGCTCAACAATGAAACAGCTCCAATTACACTCCCAGGCAGAAATACCACAAATGGCTCCTGGCTCACAAAGAAAATCAATCCAAGAAGATGTGCTGATTTACATAGCTGATGTGGCTGAGAAATTGGCCTGGGGAGAGCAGAGCTCTCAGCACACAAAAAGGCAGGTGAAGAATTAGATCTGAATTAAGAGATGCCTAATGGAGAATGAGCTTTCCTGGGTGAGAGTGACACAAAGGAACAAGGCCAGCCATCTGCCTGCGTCCCAGCCTGAGAGCTCCTCCAAGAAACCTCTAGTGCAAACACAGTTTAAGAAAGCTTCCTTAAAGTCTGAAGGGGCACCCAGAGGTGACCATAAGCTTGCAAATGAAGCCTGTCACTTCGTGCTCTCTTTTCCCAGTCTCTGGGTTAGGTGTTATGCAACTTCCGGTCCTCCAGCTCAAAAACAGCACACTTTGATGTACTTTTTATTAACTTCACTGGTTGTGAAATTGTCTGAACTGTGGAAGTGCACGGCAATATGTCTTCCTGTTCATTACAGCTCTTGTCTCCTCACTGTTGATGAAGACCACCTGAAGTAGCCTAGAAATTGAAATATGCACCCTTGTTAAAGACAGCCTGTCTAGAGCAAGCACCCAGGAAACTTGTGCAGCACGTTCCAGGTTCCCAGAAATGGTGTATAGCTGTCTCTCATCCAGATTTTGAAGATGCGCATCCATCCATGTGTTTCTAATGATCCCAAGCAGCCTTTGAAGGTGAACGCCCTACCCCTTAACATCGTTGTCAATTAGCCTATTGTTTCCTTGTTTTCTTCCCAAGGGTAAAAGGCTAAGAGACCAGAGTTGGTAGACTCAGCATTTCCAACACCCACTCCATTCCTCTTCTCCTCCCTCCCCCTTCCCCTCTCTCTGGCACATGATACTGGCCTCAACATTGTTGACATGGAAGCCAAATACCGTAATTCTTTGTTGCAGGAGGCATCTTGTGCATTCCAGGATGCGTTACCTCCCTAGCCTCCACTCACTATGTTAGTTGTACCCTGCCTTTCCCAGTGTAATGCCTCCAAAGCATCTTCAGATGGACTGAGAATGCCTGGGAGAGGCAGCGTCAATCAATCACCTTCCCTTGAGGGCCACTGCTGTTCTATCTTGAAAAATGTCAGGTCCTTTCTAAAAAGTATTTGACTTACAATTGTGTGTTCTAGTCCAGTGGTTTTCAGCCCATGGGTTGTGACCCCTTTGGCAAACCTCTGTCTCTATTACAATTCATAACAGTAGCAAAATTACAGTTATGAACTAGCAATGAGATAATTTTATGGTTGGGGGTCACCACAACATGAGGAACTGGATTAAAGGGGTTGCAGCGTTAGGAATGGTGAAAACCACTGCTCTAGTCTTCCTGGCCTGGAGGAGTGTAGGTTCTATTGTACGCACATTGTATATGTTGAAACACAGAGACACCAGTTACTTTCCTGGAGGTTACAGCATACAGAGGCTGAGCTTGCACAGCCAACACAAGGCTACATTCCAAGTGTGGACTTTTCCCTTGTGTGTGTGCATCTGGAGAAGATCATAGCACCAGCCTTACAGAGCTGATGTGAGCATTCAATGACTCGGTGACCACAGAGCCAACTGCTATTGTCACCATTGTCATAATCAGGAGCACAGCTGGTTCCTTTTTGCAGGGCAAAACTTTATCCACCGGCTCTCAGCGCCAGCTACTGCTCTGCGGCAGAAGCAGCATCTCTACTGGACTCCTTTCTCATCTGACAATTGCTGTTCAGGTCAGTCCCCCAACCCATCCATGTAACATGTAAACATTCAGAAAAGAAAGGACTCAACGTAGAACTAGCTGTCCCCCAATGTGGCTGCTTATGGTAATTACCTAGCAAGCTCGGTAATACCTGTCAGAACCTGACCTTTACCAGAGATTATGTGTTGCCTGGGTCCCGGTTATGCCTGGGGGATCAGAATTTTAGAAGCCTCCCAGGCAGTAGTAAAAGGCAGTCAAGGTTTTGAACCACTTACTAAGATAAATTTTCAGTACTAACTTACTAGTCCTTGTGATTTTAATATAGTTTACTCACCAAATTCAGCTATATTTTATGTCATCAGGAGGCAACTAGCAAAAAATTTACTTCATAAAAATAAATGATGATCAGTCTGCAACTAAAAGTATACAAAAAGAGATGAACACAGAACAGAAGAATTGGAGCGTGGGTTTACTCTCTTCATGAACACTGCCAATTCCATATGAAAAGCCCTCCTTCTGTAGGCGAAAACCAACCAACCATGGACAAAAGGAGCTTTAGAGGCTAAGACAAATTAAAATACAATTTTTAATGTATAAAAATAAGAATGTGACTAAATAAACCAAGGTTGTCTTCTGTAAAGCTGTGCTTCTGTCCCTGAAGGTGATTGCTGAGAGGTATATTAACATGGAAAGGCAATCACAGTGCGTAGTTCAGTGAAAAAAAAAATGGTTACAAAATGCTGTATATAAACCATGCCTGCAATCTCACTATTCAGGACGATGAGGCAGGAGCATTGCAAGTTCAGGACCAGCCTGGGTTATACAGTGAAGGAGGAAAGCAGGGACAGAGGAGAAGTAAAGGAAAAGTAAAAAATTAGTGTACATAATTACCTTATACTTTTGAAAATAAAAACAAATATTCATGGGGAAATATTTGAAGGGTATTGCTAGATGGTGGAACTGAAACTCATCTTCTCTCTTTCTACTTATTTTATGACTTTTACAATATTTATATATGACTTGCATGATAAAGATATAATTAATACTGGTTCTTAAGATTCAACTCCTATTCTGATTTTATGTTTATGAAAGCATTATTCTGATATGGGATGTGGCAAGTGTAGTAAATCTACCTCAAAATGGAAAGGTTATCCTAACTGGCTTTAGGCATCTTATCTCATACCAGTTAAAAATTGTATTTATATGGCTGGGGATGTAGCTCAGTGATAGAGGACTTGCTTAGTATGTGCAAGGCCCAGGATTCTAATCACACACACACACACACACACACACACACACACACACACACACACACACTCAGAGAGAGAGAGAGAGAGAGAGAGAGAGAGAGAGAGAGAGAGAAATGGTAACACACTACTAATACACTCTTAAAGCTGAATTATGGTCACAACTATGATCAGTCCTATGATTAATTGTGGTGGTATTGTGTTCCGCAAAATATTGTGCACCCTAATAAACTTACCTGGGGTCAGAGACAGAACAACCACTAGACACAAAGGCTAGAAAATGGTGGCACTCACACCTTTAATCCTAGCACTCCAGAGGTAGAAATCCCTCTGGATCTCTGTGAGTTCAAGGCCACATTGGAAACGGCCAGGCATGGTGACACACACCTTTAATCCCAGAAAGCGAGCCTTTAATCCCAGGGAGTGGTGGTAGAAAGCAGAAAGGTATATAAGGCGTGAGGTCCAGAAACTAGAAGCATTTGGCTGGTTAAGCTTTCAGGCTTTCGAGAAGCACAGTTGAGCTGAGACCCATTTGGATGAGGACTCAGAAGCTTCCAGTCTGAGGAAACAAAATCAGCTGAGAAGTTGGCCAGGTGAGGTTAGCTGTGGCTTGTTCTGTCTCTCTGACCTTCCAGTATTCACCCCAATAACTGGCCTCAGGTTTGATTTTATTAGTAACAACTTTTAAGACTCCTGCTGCAATGAATGGGCCACCGGTCTTGTTCCCCATCCTCCATGGTAAGGGTCTTCCTATACCATCCCTCCATCTCCTCATGCATGGGAGCACATGTGTGTAGCTTCATGAGTAGATTTTCATCTGAAGGCCTTGTATTGACCACTGTTCTCCTGTTTTGGGCCATTTGAAGATTCAGACCACTTAATCATGGAATCAATTTTGAGCTAGACCTAAGGTTTGTGAGCCTGTTAGAGGAACAGTAGAAGCAGCAACGAAATATTGTTGAAATCATCTAGAGACAAACAGACTACAATAGAGCTCCATTTTTTGTTTTTTGGGGTTTTTTTCTTCCTCTGAGAGCAGATTCCTAATCAGACACATCAGCAATGCAGAGCAATGCAC